CTGGGAAAACTGGCTTTCCACATGCAGAAGACCTAATCTAGATCCATATCTCTAAACATGCACTAAACTAAAATAAAAATGGACCAACAATCTAAATATAAAAACAGAAACTGGAAGACAGAATAGGTAAAACTCTGAAAGACATAGGTGTAGGCAAAGACTTTTTGAACAAAATCCCAGTCACACAGAAAATACCACAAAGAATCAACAATTGGGATCACATCAAATTAAAAAGCTTTTTTACAACAAACGAAACCACCAACAGAATGAAGAGACAAACCACAAAGTGGGAAAAAAATTTTACTAGCTACTCCTCAAAGGACTAATATAGAAAATTTTTCAAAGTCAGACCCCCTTAAATTTAAAGAATCAATCCTAAAATGGGCATATGAAATGAATAGACACTTCTCAGATGAAGAAGTAGAAAAGGCAAATAAATATATGAAAAATGTTCAACATCACTGGTCATTCAAGAAATGCAAATTAAAACAACACTGAGACACCATCTCACTCCATAAAGAATTGCTATCATCAAGAAATCAACCAATAACAAACACTGGCAGGGCTGTGGGGAAAAAGGAACCCTTTTCCATTGTTGGTGGGAGTGTAAATTGGTACAACCACTATGGCAATTAGTATGGAGATTCCTCAAAAAACCAAAACTAGAGGTTGTCCTTCTAGGTGTCTTCCCAAAAGAGTTAAAAGCATCCTACCATGATACATGTATATCCATGTTTATAGCAGCATAATTTGTAATAGCTAAGTTTTGGAAACAGTCCATTAATAGATGAATGGATAAAGAAAATGTGGTATTTATATACAATGAAGTAGAGAAGGATAAAAGAGTGATTTTTAGGTAAATGGATGCACCTCTGAGCACGATGTTAAGTGAAATAAATCAGACATACAAATTTAAATATCACATTGTTTCTCTTGTGTGAGAAACCCAAAGAGAAAATAAGGAGCAAAATGGAGGATAGATATTGGGAAGTAGGAAGAACATGTTCAAATGGAAAAGGGAACAAGGG